CTGTGGTGGGACTGAAGACCCCCCTGCTTAGGGGCCTGCTCTACAGTGGAGAGGGCCTGCTCACACAGCAGACCCTACATCTACACATCTGCAGAAGTGCTGCTGGGGGCTGATCAAGATCTCAGCCCCCTCTCTCCTCCAACTGGCTGCTGCAGCAAAGACCAAGACCCTCCTGGTCTTGGTGTACCTTGTGCCCTTGGAGACACCAAGGGTCAGGTATCACTCCCTTCTCCCGTCTCCCTCTACTAACCCAATCTCCCTACCTCTCCTCTTTCCTCTTATTCACCCCTTCTCTTTCCCCCACCTTCTACTGCATCTTTTTTCTCCTCCTTTTATCTTCCCCACCCCACCTTTCTCCCACCACCCATTCTTTTACTCTATTTTCTTTATCTCTCCTTTTCTTCCCTTCTTTTCTCCTTCCTTCTTGATTCTCTCTCCACCTTTCCCCAACCCTCCTCTCCCCCAACTACCACCACCTCATTCCCCCACCTCCCACTTCATCTTTTTCTCTCTCCCACCTATTTCCTTCCCTTCTCCTTCACTTCTTTCATTCCCATTTCCCCCCACTTCGAATTTTTCTGTTTTTCTTTTTCTATCTTCCTTTTGATTTATCTTTTCTCTCTTTCCAAAAAATTCGAAATATCTTCTTTCCCACCTTCTTTTCTCATTTTAATTTAATTTTTCTATTTATTCTGAAAATTCGATTTTCTCTACGGCAACCCTAAATCTGATTAGTTGTTAGTTTTCTCATCTTCTTCCCCACCCTCTTTTCTTATTTTCTGATTTATTTTTATTTATTCTGAAAATTATTGGCGGCAACCCTAAATCTGATTAGGTGTTAGCCTTTCTTGCTTTTGGCACACGTTTTGACCCCGTGGGGGTAACGAAGTGCTGGCGAAATTTTCTGATTTTCTCTTACTTAGTCTTTTCGACACACTTCGACCCCATGGGGGTAACGAAATGCTGCCAAATTTTTCAAAAATCAGATAACCCATTTCTCCCCACCTCCTCACACACTTATTTACTTATTTATTTATTTATTATTTCTTTATTTATTTTTTAAAATTTCCTTTTTTATTTATTTGCGGCATCTCTAGTGTGCTCACCTTGGCCTCTCCTTTTCCCTTGGCACATTCTTGACCCCGTGGGGGGTAGGGAAATGCTGCCGAAAATTTCAAAAAAATAAATATTGTTTCCCTTCACATCTTTTACTTATTTCTTTAATTATTTTAATTATTTATTTATTTCCTTATTTATTTTTATTTTCTCTCGAAATCTCGCTGTTTATTTATTTTCCTCCCGCCTTCCCCCCTATGCTTGCTATTTTACTTTCTTGATTAGGTCACCGGTACCCTACCCTAACCACTTAAACTTCGGTTAGGGTTTTCTTAGGGTTTTTGTAGGGTTTAGGGCTCTTCAAAACCCCTCTACTTCCCCGTCCTCTTCGGGCACCCTGGACCCGAACTACCCCTCCCCCTTCGACGGCGCCCGTGCTAGCCTTGCTAGTGCCGTTCGCCGCTTCCTACCGCGGACTTCCCCCTACGCCCTCCGCTCACGCGGACCTCTTCTGGCCCCCCCCAGTCCGGTCCGTCATCTCCCCATGGCCGACGGTGTGTCACACGCCGCCGACACGGCGATGACCACGGCATCGGGCTCCACACTCGTGCCGGCGGACCAGGGCCATCAGCCCCAGGGGGATCTGTACACCCTCCTCACCTCCCTCCTTGCGCCCATCCAGGCGCAACTCGCGACCCTCGCGCCCATCCTGGCGCAACTCGCGACCCTCGGGCCCTTACAAGCGCAGGTGGCATCCCTTGCCGCCGGCGTGCAGCAACTCTAGGACGCTGCTTGTCCTTCCGCTCCTCATCCTCTCTCTTCTCCTGGCTCTTAGTCCAGGTCCCCAGTTCTCCGACAGGGTGACCACGGCGGAGTTTCATCCTCTGCCGCCCCCGACCCGGCCATTTTGGTGACCGTCCACGCCCCTAGCTCGACGGCCGCCACGAGTCAGGCCCTTCCTCAGTCTACGGGCACACCGGCCCAGATTCCGGTTACGACGGCCACGGGACCACAACCCGTTACCATGGTCTCAGCGTTTCCGGGTGCCCCGCTCCTCCCCCCTCTTCGCACGACCGCAACGCCACTTGGCTCTCCCCCTTCTGGGATGCCCCGCACCGCTTGTGCATCCACTTCCTCCACTCTTCCCCCTTCTACCCCTCGCACGACCTACGTTCGAGGTCTCGAGGACAAGATTGCCCAGCTCCGGGCCAACCTCGCCCTCTTGCGCTTTCAGCCACCCCCACCCTCCCAGGTGGCCGCGCCTTCTGGCGCACCCCCCTCTTCCTCTATTCTTCCTTCCATGCAGGCTCGCTTCCCTCGCCCTGCACCCTACCAATCTCCATCCTACCTCCTCCCCATCCCCTCGGTTGCTGCGACCTCTTCTAACGCAGCTCCCGTGCAGCCTGCCGCTGCTTCCCCCGCCGCTCCACCATGCGGCCCGGGCGTACAGTCAGTTGCGCCTCCTCCTCCAGGACCTGCGCCGACTTATTCCGCCGTAGCACAGTCCCCTGCTTCTTGTTCCCCTCGCCGTCAAAATGGTGGCGCACCACTCATCCGCTTGTCGGACATTCCCTTGTATGACGGTACAGGCATACGCGTGTCTTTCATAGGTACCACGGCGATACCACGCACCGATCCTCCTCCCCCGGAGCCTTCAGTGCCCACACCATCCCCCTCTATCACTGTCACCTCGCCTCGGCAGTTCGCTCACTTCATTCGACAGGACGACGTCACCTTCTTTATGGTGAACGTGACGGATCTCTTACACTATGATCCACCCTGTCCCGACGCCGAGCTCATCCCTCTGGAGCCAGATCCTCCTTCTATCTCCATGGCTCCCATCTCTACTCCCGTCCCCCTGCCGTCCGTCGAGTCCACTCCGTCGTCGCGCGCTGACGCTGACGCTGAGGAACTCGCACGATATACGACTGACCTGGAGCCCGCAGTTCGTGAACTCATCCGAGAGTACCACGACGTTTTCCCATCGTCGTTCTCGTACGCCGGCATCCCACCGATGCGTGACGTCGAGCACTCCATTCAGCTTGTGCCTGACTATCGTGCTCACCACCAGGCACCCTACAGACTCTCGATTCCCGAGGCCACCGAACTCAAGCGTCAGCTTGAGGAGCTCCTGAGACTGGGTTTCATTGAACCCAGCAACTCCCCGTGGGGTGCACCTGTCCTCTTTGCTCGCAAAGCGGATGGAACTCTTCGTCTCTGCATCGACTACCGAGGTCTCAACCGCTACACGGTTAAGAACAACTACCCCATGCCTCGTTCCGATGAGTTGTTCGACCGCCTAGCAGGCAACCGCTTCTTTATGAAGATTGATCTTCGTAGCGGTTACCATCAGATCCGCGTCGCTGCAGCCGACCAGCCGAAGACCGCGTTCCGATCGCGCTTCGGCCACTACGAGTTTACGGTGATGTCATTCGGCCTCACCAACGCACCCGCCACCTTCCAGAGGGCGATGAACGACATCTTCAGGGACATCCTGGAGCAGTACGTTATTGTTTACCTCGACGATATCCTGGTCTACAGTCGTATCCTTGAGGAGCACCTCAGACACCTCCGCGACGTTCTTGACCACTTGCGCAGACATGGCTTCTACGCCAAGCTCAGCAAGTGCCGCTTTGCCCAGCACAAAGTGGACTTCTTAGGACATTACGTGTCTGACCAAGGTCTCCACATGGACGACGCGAAGATCACTGCTATTGCGGAGTGGCCCACTCCCACATCCGCCAAGCAGCTTCGCAGCTTCCTAGGCCTGACCAGCTACTATAGTAACTTCATCCGGGGATACGCCAGGTATTCCTACGTCCTTACCTCCACCCTCCTCAGGAAGAACCCACCCTGGGCTTGGACACCCCTCCACGCGGACGCCTTCTGCGCCCTCAAGAAGGCGGTGACATGCGCACCGGTTCTTCACCTACCCGATTTTGATCGCCCTTTTATCCTTACCACCGATGCGTCAGACTTTGCTGTAGGAGCAGTGCTTTCTCAGGTCTTCCCCTCCTCTCCCGATTCCTCTCATCCTCGTATCCCTCGCTTCCCACTACCTACCCCTACCACTGCTTCCCGACTGACGCCTACTCGTCCAGCTACTGACGAGCCCTCTATTGACTATTCTCCTACCATCGCCGAGGACGGCACTGTCGAGTCTCGCTCAGGTGATTGTCCGATAGCCTTCTACTCTCGTCAGCTCCTGCCCGCCGAGATAAACTACACTGCTGATGAACGTGAGGTTCTCGCAGTAGTTTATGACGCTCGGCACTGGCGTCACTACCTGCACGGGGTACCATTCACGGTGCGCACGGAAAACTCTGTTGTCCAGGCTTTTCTGACAAAGTCGAAGCTCACTCCTCGACAGGCTCGCTGGTGGCGCGACCTATCCGAGTTTAGTTTCACCACTGAGCACATCAAGGGTGAGACTAATTGGGTCGCAGATGCCTTATCCCGGCGCCCTGACCACGACCAGGAGCACATCCAGCTCTCTTCCATCTCGGTCACCACCGTCCACCACTCGGTGATCGACGAGTTTCGCACTCAGTACCGCCACTGCCCCGACTATCGCGACATCCACGCGACACTTCGGAATGGCAAGACCGTCCCGAACTACTCTCTCGGGGACTACGGTCTTGTGTACTGGCACGGTTCACAGGGCACCAGAGAGCCCCGTATCTGCGTTCCCTCCACTGGACAGCTACGTGTCCGAGCAGTAGCAGAGTTCCATGACCAGGTAGCCGCCGGTCATATGGGCTTCCACAAGATGTTGGCTCGTGTAAGCCGCCTGTACGTCTGGCCGAAGCGCAAGGGCTTTGTGAAGGACTACGTCGCAGAGTGTCCCACCTGTTTGGAGGTGAACAGTGCGAACCACCTACGTTATGGTTTGCTCCAGCCTCTTCCTATCCCTGAGGGTCGTTGGCAGTCCATCTCGATGGACTTTATCGGTCCTCTTCGACCTCCGACCCCCCGC